CACAAATATCTTTGCATGTTATTATTACTTTCCTGCAGGTTCTAACAAAAGGTGTGTTAGGCAAGTTAATCTCTTTGAACCTCACTTCATCTGTAAAAGTATCTACCTCTTTGGTGTATGTAAGAATTAAATAAAATGATCCGTGTAAAATACAAAGCAAAATGCCTCTCACATAGTAAGAGCCCAATAAATATTGGCTTTTGTTTAAGGCTGCATAATAACCAACTATCTTAAACAACCTGTTAATCAATTTTCTATTTTTAGCCAGTTTTTACCTATTAAAACAACACTGAAATAAAAATCCATGAGGTTAAATCTTTAATACATCCTCAACTGTTTTTTAAAGACTTTATTTATTTATTTGAGAGAGAGAGCAGGACAGAGTGAGAGAGAATGAGCAGGAGGGAGGAGCAGAAGGAGAGAGAAAAGCGGACTCCCCACTAAGCAGGGAGCCCTATGCCCCACTGGAACCCAGGACCCTGGGATTATGACCTGAGCCGAAGGCACACACTTAACCGACTGAGCCACCCAGGCACCCCATCCTAAACTTTCTTAGAATAAATTTCTAGAGGTGGAATCTTGGATCAATATTTTATACATTCCCAAATGTAACTTTCACATTCGCCAACATGGTGTTTCCCCACATTCCTCATCTCTACCTCACTCTTAAGTTTTTTGTTTCTTAAATAAATGTGTTTTGTAAAGTTAGAAAAGCTGGCAGTAAATAGTATGAAAAGTAAGGTATTTACTATCTAAATTTTAATCACTATTTACATTTTACTTAGGAGAACGAACAAGCTTTCAGTGTCATATTCCAATGTATTTCAAGCAGTTTTACTCTACATGAGCTTTAGCTTTTAAGAGAACAACTTCAATTTATAGTTGACAGTTGTTCTAATGCAATAGTTGATTTAATAGTTGTTAGTTGCTTAACAGTTGTTTAAAAGCTGTATAAGAAAAATGTATTTTTAAAATTACTTTTAAATGTCTCCAAATTAATTAAAATTCAGCCTTTCTTACAGAAACTCTAAAATTTGAGAGAGTGAGAATTGCTCAATCTGTTGAGACTGAGAAAGGCTGGGAAGAAATTTAGCAGAAGCCCTCATCTTTGCTCAAGAGACAAGTGCTGCGAGCACCAAAACACACATTCTCATTGGTGTCTAGCAGACTGTTTCTTTAAATTAACACTGCTAACACGCCCCCTTTTTCCTAGAAACTGTCATTTCCTGAAGCAACAGCATTCATGAAAAAACAAACTGAACAAGACTCTTGAAGAAGCAGAAGCCCAGCTGGGGATAGGCAGAACCCCGGCTTGGCCTCAGACTGTCTGTCCCTACGCCCGTCCGGGATCAACCAAGTTATGCGAAGTGACTAACTCGTGACAGCCTCGGGCGTTGGACGCTGGCCACACTGCCACCTCTTTCAGGTCCAACGCTCCGGCAGGCAGCCTGGCCTGGAATGGCTCGACCCTCGGCCCGCTCCTCTGCACCACGGTTTGACATTAGACCCCCGTAACGGGTCGGGAGCCTAGAGGGCTTCAGATCCCTCCGTACTCAATCTCGGGTCGTGATGGGAGAGGGAACTTCAAACAAGAAGTCAGATATTGCAAGGGACCCAGGTTTTCCCATCCCGCCTTCACTCCTGAGTTGGGGTCTCGGGTGGGTGGGGGAACCTTCGATAGGGGTCAAAAGTCATGCAAGATCGGAGCCCTTCTAACTTATTCTCAGGCCAGGGTCGTGCGCTGGGGGAAAACTAGAGGTCAGACGTCCCGAAGGATCCGGCCACCCCCTCCCACTCTCCTGCATGGAGTTTGGGGATGGGTGCCCCGGGTCCCCAGTAGTGAGGACCCGGGCCGCCCTGGACTCATTCCCAGTCCGGAGTTTGGGGGAGATTCTCAGGTCAAGGGTCACGGAAGAACCTTCCCTCCTCCTGGCCCCCGAAGCTGTGTCAAGGGGTGTCGGGAACTAGACGAGAGCAGCGGCCATAGTACCTGAGTCGAGGCCAGCGCCTGCTGGAGCTGCTGTTGCTCCTCGCTGATCTTTTGCTTCAGTTTCTTGAACATGGTGCAGCGCGGGGTCCTGAGTGTGCGACCTGAGGGGCGAGCGCCCAGGGAGACCCGGCCGCGGCGCGACGGCGGCCTCTCTACACCAGGGACCGTAGGCGCCGGGCCTCACCGCCTCCTCCTTGGGCTCGCGGGCGGATCGAGACACTCGTCCTGCGGGTGTCGGCGTCGCCGCCGCCGCGTCTCTTTCTTCTGGGTGCCACTGGTTGGCCTATGCCCCCCATCCAGCCCCGGCGGCGGCGGCGGCGGCGACAACGGCAGCAGGTGAACGGTGTGCCAAAGACGCCTGCGCGGCCTACGTGGAACTCGCCAAGGGAGCTCTACGGAGCGCCGGAGGGGCCAAGCACGAAGTCGCGCCGGCACATGCGCGCTCGGGGTGTCGCGCCCGAACGCGGCACCCGCGAGTAACACGCCGCGTTCCGCGCTGCTCCAGTTCATTGCGTGCGGAGCGGCCCTCCGAGCGGGGGCGAGGGCTGGTGTGAGCCCTGCAGTGACGCACACCCGCCCTTCGGCACTGCAGAGTCCAGCGGCGAGGGTGCTGCTTCTCTTAAACGGCCCGGTGGACAGGCCCACCGTGAAGAGCCGCCTGTGTGAGCGCCTGGGGTGGGAGAAGGCGGGTGTCCAGGGAACCTGCTTTGCGCTCTGAAGGATAGTGTACTTTTGTCCAGTATTTGTAGTTAAGAGTCTGCATCGTCAGTGCCTGGTACTCCTACTACTCCCCAGAGGGGCCGTCTTTCCTTCCCTGGACTTTTCCAGAGGTCTCAAGAAGTGCCTGACACAGACTTCCAGGGTCCAGACGTTCCAGGACGATATTGTAAAATCGCAACCGTTTGGACATCTGTCTGTATTTTTCATTTAACCGAAATCGTATATGTTCACGTATTCATTCCAAAGTCCTTATTAAAGTGCCAAGTCCTTGGGGATGTTAAAAGAATTCACAGCTGATGGAATACACAAATTTCCAAAAGGTCCAAGCGTCTGCATCTGCAATCATCCTAGAGAGTTTAATGTTTATGTGCTTAATTCTTCCAACACCCTGAACTTGGGCCATCTGTGAACCCCCATATCCATCTCAGCAACTACCTCTGCATGCTATACCAAATTGCTTCACATTGCCTCGTGTATCAGAACCTGAGAGAATATATGCTGATCTTCACATTTTAGCAAATTTTATTTATTAGCCAGTTCCTCTATAAGATCCCATAGCCTGATCCCTAAATGTAGTAGAGCCAGAACAGGGCCTAGTCTGAACACCGCATTGACAGCTGGGCCAAGTCCTCTCTTATCTCATAGTGAACACCTACATATTTACTGAGAAAGTAGTAGCACTATGACCTTTGGCCACATAGTACAAAGTCAAATGCCTGAAGGGAGCAGAAAGATTATGAGTGACACACAAATGGTATAAGACAATGGAGAATTAGGGAAAGTAACAAACTGGGTAGTGCAAACTCATCCAGAGGTATTTTTAAATCACTGCAGCAAAACAGCTCTTAGAATAAAATTCAGCCCAAAGGCCAGATTGTGACCTCTGAGTCTCAATTCTCTGCCCCTCGTTTTCCTCATCTATAACATTTTAATAATATTTCATGGGAATGTTGCAAAGTTTGATGTGCCTAGAGTATAGTTCATAGTAAATGATACTTAAAAATTCTAAGAGTTTCTTTCTCTTCTTAACACTCTCCCTCTCTGTGTTGAGAGCTCTAGCTTAGACCCTCTCCCCTGAGCTGCAGATCATACCATCTTCATTAGGCTGTCAGGTTCGGGAGGGCAAAAACCATGGCTGTTATACAACTCAACCAGTGCCTGGTACAGGGCCTGACACTAAATTTCTACAGAATTACTTAGTCTTAATACATCCAGCTGCCTACTGAACAGTTTCTCTTGATAGTGCATAGGCCCCTCAATTCAACTTGTCTGAAACTGAAATCATCTCCTACTACACCCCCTACCATCACCATCCCAATTTGCCCCTTCTGTGTTTCTTCTCACCCTCTTGCATCTTCTCCTCTTCACAAGCTTGCTTTGCCATCTGTATTTTCTGCCTTGGCTGGTGTCATCTCCATCTGCCCAGTTACGCAAGTGAAAACTGTTGAAGTTAGTCAAAACATTCCTCTCATTCTTCACCCATATCCAGCAAATCACCAAGCCCTCTGTCTTTTACTCTGAAATATTTCTCAAATCCATTCTCTTTCCTATTCACCCTGCCACTAGCTAGTTTCAATCTTCATTACATCTCACCGCTTAAATGATCTTCCAGCTTCCAGATTGGCTTCTCTCCAATCAATCTTCTATATAGCTGATGTTACTGTCCTGCCAAAACCCCATCAGTGACCTCCTTGTTCTGCAGGACACTATTCAAATTCCCAAGGAGTACAAGAAACCCTTAGCAGCCTGACTCCTGCTTTCTCTCTCACTACCCCTCTCCATACTTCACACTTGAAACCTCCAGAAATTTCAAATTGACTTGTGGTTCCCTTGCACATCCGGCTTTTGTATACCTCCTTACCTTTCTTTTTGTAGTCCCCAGGTTATATATAGTAGCTTTGAACACCTTAATGAATCTAGTATACTTATAATCCTCCATGACTTTGTACATTTCTTCTTTTTCCACCTTTCTTATCTCTCCTTGATAATGCTGCCCACATGTCATCTTCCCTTTCAAGCATTTCCTAACACCATCCCTAAAACCACACACACATCAGTGGACTTAATCATGCTCCCCTCTCTACAACTTCAATCTTACAAGCTTTAATGTATGTATCACACTGTATTTTTATCTTTTCTTACAAGAGTAACATATACTCACTGTAACAAAAACAAAAGTACAGTCGACCCTTGAACAACACAGATTTGAACTGCACAGGTGAAATCATACATGGATTTTGTTTTCAGTAAATACAATACAGTACTGTAAATGTATTTTCCTTATGATTTCTTTTCTCTTTGCTTTATTGTATGAATACAGTCTATAATACATATAACATACAAAATACATGTTAGTCGACTATTTAATAAGGCTTTTGGTCAACAGTAGGCGGGTCATTATTGGTTAAGTTTTGGGGGAGACAAAAGTTACACACAGATTTTTCAACTATGCGGGAGGTTGGTACCCCTAACCCCCGCATTGTTCAAGGGTCAACTGTATGATCTTATCCCCCCAAATAACCCCTATTAATAATTTAGTTGTATTCTTTCCATTTTGTTTCTGTATTAATGAAAATATAGAGATGTGTAAATGTAATTATCTATGTATTTGTAGTTTTAATTTATTTTATTAATTTAATTTTAATTTGTTTTATTAAAAATGGATCATACATATTCTCCATTTTGCTTTTCTCAATTAACACGCCATGAATATCATTTCCAATCAGTACCTGTATTTCAGTCACTTTAATGACTGCATAGTATTTTATACTATGGATAAAGTAGTTACGATTGATGTCTCGGTTTCCATGTGTTAATGGATATTTCACTTCTCCCCAGTTTTTGCTATTAAACAATATTAAAGTGAACAACTTTATAAATATGTTTGTGTACTTTTGTGTATGTTTCTGTGGAAAATAATGGATTCCCAGAAAGGTAGTTGAAGAATCCATTCATTATGTATAGTTAATGCCAACTTGATCTCCAAAATGAATACCAATTTGTTTCTTTTTTTATTTTTTTAAAGATTTTATTTATTTATTTGAAAAAGAGAGAGTGAAAGACAGAACATGAGCAGAGGGGAGGGGCAGAGGGAGAGGGAGAAGCAGACTCCACACTAAGCAGAGAGCCTGATGCAGGGCTCGATCCTAGGGCCCTGGGATCATGACCTGAACCGAAGGCAGACACTTAACCGACTGAGCCACCCATGTGCCCCAATACCAATTTATGTTTCTATCCACAGTGGAAATGCCCAGTTCCATTTTTTTTAAGATTTTATTTCTTGGAGAAAGAGAGAGCACACAAGCAGGGGGGAGGGGCATGGGAGAGGGAGAAGCAGACTCCCAACTGAGCAGGGAACCCGATGGTGGGGCTCGATCCCAGGACCCTGGGATCATGGCCTGAGCCAAAGGCAGACGCTTAACTGACTGAGCTACCCAGGCACGCCCCCATTTCTATATTTTAAAAAATTTTTGACAATAAAAAGATAACAAATGGTATTTTGATTTCCATTTAATTAAAAGCAAAGTTAAAATTCAGTCACAAGTATATATGTTATTATAGATCTCTCAGATTATATTATAAAATTCATGTAACTCAGATAATAGCTTTTCCTTTTCCCCTAAGGGACAACTCCCTCTAAGTAAATATGGGGAAATAGAGTGTTCCTTGATCTTCCAAGGTTCTTCTTAAAGTCTCTCCTAAATCCCATTCCACCATGAGAACGCTCTTCATTTGTTTTTGTTATTGGTCTCAGTCTGGAAATCAGGACTGCAGTCTCCCTGGGTACCTTGATGCTATACCTCTAAGGGACTTTGTAGGATGAGAATCAGGAGGGAGGAGAAAAACAAGTTGCATTTGGGGGAGATACCAAATATCCTTATGGACCCAGCTCTCATTTCCTTCCATTACGGCCCTACTCAAGACATGCAGACTTAGCAGGGGTGCCTGGGTGGCTCAGTCAGTGAAGCATCTGCCTTCGGCTCAGGTCATGATCCTGGAGTCCCAGGATCGAGTTCCACATCAGGCTCCCCGCTCAGCGGGGAGTCTGCTTCTCCCTCTGACCCTCCCTCCTCTCATGCTTTCTCTCTCTCACACTTTCTCTCTCAAATAAATGAATAAAATCTTAAAAAAAAAAAAAAAGACATGCAGACTTATCAAATGCATTAGCAGACTGGAAAACACTAAAGGAATTATGGCATATTAAAGGAAGAAATTTAAACTATATGCTAAATAGGGGGCGGGGGATTGGGCAAAATAGGTGAAGGGGAGTGGGAGATACAGACTTCCAGTTACGGAGTGAGTAGGTCATGGGAATAAAAGGCACAGCATCAGGAATCCAGTCAATGATACTGTAATAGCTATATAATGCGACAGATGGTAACTACACTTGTGCTAAACGTATATAACATATAAATTTGTCAAATCACCAAGTTGTACACCTGAAACTAATGTAACACTCTATGTCAACTATATTCCCAAATGAAAACAAAAAAACACTATATGCTAAATACAACTTTTACCACAGTTTAAGGAAAAAAAAAAACTCTTCAAAAGTTATAACCTTGGGGTGCCTGGCTGGCTCAGTCAGACGAGTGTGTGACTCTTGATCTCGGGGTTGTGAGTTTAAGCTCCATGTTGAGTGTAGAGATTACTTTGAAAAATAAAAAAGAAAAATTTTTTTTAAAAATTATATCCTTGATAGGATATAACTTGAAATTATCCATTCCCAGATCTTAATCTTCTTCCCTTATCTCTGTCCATAAGGACCACTCTGCTGGAGCATCCTCTTCTAGCTTCTACATTGCAAATCGCTACCGATCTTTAGGAAAACTTTTACCTTTACCCACAGAAGTTGACCCATGCTCCTTCAACATCCAGGCAATCTTGGAGACTCTGTATTCCTTAATTCTACATTTATCCCACTCTGAACTCTTCAAACTAAAATAATACCACATGGGAAGGGGACTGAGTTTCCAGTAGTAGAATCCATGGTAGACTGTGGCACTCCAGCCCATCCTCTTCAAAGTGTCCCTTGAGAATTGAAAGTATGCCACTTTATTCTTCTCAACAGCATGGAAGACCTTAAAAAGCAGCCAGAGAAAAAAGACATGTTATATGCAGAAAACAAAAATAATGACTTCATGGAACAGCATCTTTAAAATGCTGAAACAAACTAAAAAATGCAGAGAAAGCATTTATCTATAACAAAAGCAAACAAAGACATTTTCTGAAAAAAAAAAAACAGCTGAGAAAATTCTTTACAAGCAAACTTGTATTATAAGAAGTGCTCAAGAAATTACACCAGATGGATATACAAGAGGGAAGGAAGAGCTCCCAAATATGCAGATAAATGTGAAAGACTATTTTTTTTCTTTCTTAATTTCTTTAAAATCAAATTAACTGTTGGGGCCCCTGAGTGGCTCAGTCAGTTGAGCGTCCAACTCTTGATTTCAATTCAGGTCATGATTTCAGTCAGGGTTGTGGGATCGAGCCCCAGGTTGGAGACTACACTCAGCACAGAGTCTGCTTGGGATTGTCTCTCTCCCCCTCTCTGTTCTTTCTCCCTGCTTGCATGTTCTCTCTCTCTCTCTCTGAAATAAATAAATAAAATCTTTTTTTTAAAAATCAAATTGACTGCTTAAAACAAAAATCATGACCATAAATTGTGGAGTTTTTAACATACAAAGAAGTAAAATCTATGATAATAGTAGCACAAAGGACGAAGAGTTGGTAAATGGAAGTATACTGCTGTAAAGTTCTCACATTATATGTGTAGTACAACATTAATTCAATTTGGACTGTGATAAGTTAAGGATGCATATTGTAATAGCTAGAACAACCACTAAAAAAAGAAACAATAAAGCAGAAGATTTAACTTAAAGTCCCATTAGAAGATATAAAATACAATCCTAAAAACTCAAGTAATCAAAAGGAAGACAGCAATGAAAAGAAAAGGGAACAAAGAACTAATGTGACTAATAGAAAACAAGGAGCAAGATGGTAGACTTAAACCCAATCATATCAAAATTACACTCAATATAAATTGATTAAATACTCTGGTGAAAAGGCAGAGATGGTCATGATGAATGGAAAAACAAGATCCAACTATACATTGTTTTTAAGGCATGTGATTTCAATATAAAGACACAGATAAGTTAATAATAAAAACATGGAAAAGAACATACTGTATATCACACATCAAGATCCCCTGGTAACAGACTCTGAGATTTACTTACAGGAGATTTGTTAGAACCTGTTAGAGGGGAAACGGGTGGGGGTGGGGGACAATACATACAGCTGTGAGCCATCTGTAGCCACACTATTAGCTGCTGGTGAAATTAATGCCTCAGTTCTTTTTTTTTTTTTTAAGATTTTATTTATTTATTTGACAGAGAGAGAGAGAGCACAAGTAGGCAGAAGGCAGGCAGAGAGAGAGGGAGAAGCAGGTTCTCCACTGAGCAGGGAGCCTGATGTGGGACTTGATCCCAGGACTCCAAGATCATGACTTGAGCCAAAGGCAGCCGCTAAACCAACTGAGCCACCTAGGCACCCCAGTGCCTCAGTTCTGAAAGCACATTTGAAAAATGCACCAGAGAATCCAATATACTATGCAAAACTGAATCATAGGAAAGCTGTATGACTATATTAATATCAAATAAAATAGACTTCAAGACAAGGAATATTACAAAAATAAAGAACTCTTTTTTTAAGATCTTATTTATTCGAGAGAGGGAGGGGGAGGGGAGGAGCAGAGGGAGAAAGAATCTGAAGCAGACTCCATGCTGAGTGTGGAGCCAGATGCAGGGCTTGATCTCACAACTCTGAGATCCTGACCTGAGCCAAAACCAAGAGTTGAACGCTTAACCCACTCAGCCACCCAGGCGCCCGTAAGGAACATTTCAAAATAACAAAAAGATTTCATCTTTTTGATGAAACAATTCATCAAGAAGACATAATCCTAAATATGTTTCTATGTAATAACATAGCTTCAAAATCATGAAGCAAAAACTGACTAAAATCAAAGGACAATTACAGTTGGAGATTTTAAGATACCTCTCTTAGTCTTTGATAAAAGAAGTAGATGAAAAAGTAGGTAAGGATATAGAGAATCTGGGTCAGCTAACTCTGCCTAATTGATCTTTTTGGAAAACTACCACCAACAACTGCAGAATACACATTCTTTTTTGAGTACACGTGGAACATTCACCAAGATAGACCATATGCTAATACATAATACAAGTCTCAATAAATTTCAAAGGATTAATATCATATAGCATATTCTCTGACCACAAAGGAATTAAATTAGAAATCAATAACAAAAAGATATCTAGAAAACCCCAACTATTTTGAAATTAGGCAGCTAACTTCCAAATAAGTGATGGGTCAAAGAACAAAACTCAAGGGAAATCAGAAAATGTTTTAAATGAATGAAAATGAAAATATCAAAATTTGTGAAGTGCAGCTAAAGCAGTGCTTAGAAGGATTTATAGTATTGCATGTTTACATTAGAAAAGGAAAAGATTAAAAATAAATAATTTAATACTCCAACTTAAGAAGTTAGAAAAAAGGGGTGCCTGGGTGGCTCAGCTGTTAAGTATCTGCCTTCAGCTCAGGTCATGATCCCAAGGTCCTGGGATCAAGCCCCACGTCGGGCTCCCTGCTCAGCGGGAGGCCTGCTTCTCCCTCTCCCACTCCCCCTGCTTGTGTTCCCTCTCTCTCTGTCTCTCTCTCTGTGTCAAATAAATAAATAAAATCTTTAAAAAAAAAAAAAGAAGATAGAAAAAAGAGGGGAAAATTAAAACCAAAGTAAGTAGAAGGCATTAAACAATAAAGATAAGAGCAAAAATCAGTGAAATAGAAAACAGAGAAACAATAGAGAAAAACCAACAAAGCTAAAATTTGGTTCTTAGAAAAGATTAATAACATTGATAAGTCCCTAGTAAGACTCATTGAGAGAAAGAAAAACACTATCAGTATCAGGAATCAAAGAGGGGCTATCACCACAGATTCCACAGGTGGTACCAGGGAGTACCACAAAGAGGCTTAGGCCAACAAATTCAACAATGTAGAAAAAGGGACATATTCCTCGAAAGACACAAATTATCAAAACTCTGATGTTTCTCAGCCAGTGAATGGATAAACAAATTGTGGTACATCCATACCATGGATGTACTCTAAAATATACTCTAAATATTTTACTGTACTATGTACTCTAAAATATAAAGAACCAACTGTTGATACCCACAACAACCTGAGTGGATCTCAAGTAAGTTTTGGTAAGCAATGGAAGTCAGACTCAAAAGAAGCCATACATATATATGATTCCATTTCTATGACATTCTGGAAAGACAAGATGATAGGGAGAGAGACCAAATCAGTGTTTTCTAGGACCTGAGTAGGGTTACGGGTGGAGGTGAGGTGGGGGAATTATTAAATGGCACAATGAAGGAATCTTTGGGATGATGAAAGAATTCATATCGTAACTATGGTGGTAGATATACAACTCCGTGCACTTCTCAAAACCCAAAAAAACCTATACACTACAAACACTGAATTTTACTGTATGAAATTTTTAAAATAAAAGTTAAAAACCTAAAGCTCAGAGAGGTTAAGAATCTCACGCAAAGTAACACAGCCTGGACATGGTAGGGCAGCATTTGAACCCAGAGCTCTCGTGGCTCTAAAGTCCATGGCACATCACCACCCATACTACCTCTGGGTCCGTTCCTGTGGAGGCACCGACTCTCAGTGACATTGATTTCTCTGTGTTCTCCAACTCTGCTCCAAAATGATTTACTGATTGACACCGAAGTGTGCTCACTAAAATAAATTCTTTCTTGGTTGTCAGAAAAGACATATTTTCCTTCTGTACATGCAGAGCACTATCCTCAAATGTGAACGTGGTACAGCTGTGTTGTTCTTCACACACCAGATTTGTATGGGGCGGGGGGATACGTAGGTAGAGGTATTGGTATGTATATATGTACACACACACAATTTGGCTGTAGCGAGAAACAGATTTGGAACACTTTGAAATACTCCATTACACTGTTTTAATGCACTTCATGAGAACACTTTAAAACATATTATGTTTTTAATATTTACTTTTGCAAAAGAACATTGCATGTCTATGTAAAGTATAGTTATAAAACAGTTGGGAAGCCTCCCATGAAAGAAATCTTTGTCTAAACTTAGACTATGACTCTTGGGAATTTAGCCTACTTTTCTGCCTAAGGCCTTTTCTTTAAATAATTTTTTTGGGGGTATCTTTGTTTTTAATTTAATCCCTATTGTAGGCAGAAAGTAAGTAAACTAGGGGAAAGTGAATGGTTACATTGTCATTGCTATTGCCCCTGTTTGACAAATAGTCACAAAGAAGAGCAAAAAAATCAGTCTTCTAAAGTCATATGATCTCGGTGACAGAACTGGAAAGTGACCTCAGGCCTTCTTGCTATTTATCCTGGCCTCCCAACTGTCATAAATTTAACACTTCCTTCTCTTCTCTGAGACACACCCTGCTCAGTTTTTAAAACTTCAATGTCATCTTTAGCAGTTTTATAATTGTTTACATAACATGTCCTGGGACTGTTTACACAGCTGATGGCAGCAATTTAATGAGAAGAATCTTTTGAAGGGAAAGCCCAACACTGAGCTGAGAAAAAAAATCATTTCAAGAATGAGGTCTTGGTAACAAAGAGAAGGGTTGAGGGAATAAAGGTGAGAAGTGGCAAATTCCTTGCTCCTTACTAAGTAACTACTTGATAATCAGATACTAAGTAAACGAATTCACTCTTACAAACATTTGGATACTGTGTTTGTGTTGCAGGAAAAACAAAAAAGCCCTATATTCAAGATACTGTGTTGGTAGATTCCTCCCATAGGGAAAGGCTGGGTAGGATTAAGGAATAGGCACACAGACATTAAACTCAACTGGCTGTGTTCAAACCCCAGCTTCACATTATTCTGTGATGGGGGAAAGTTACTTCGCTTCTCTGTTTCAGTTTTTTCTCTTTTTTTTTAATTTAAGATTTTATTTATTTATTTGAGAGGGAGAGAGAGAAAGGGAGGGAGAGCATGAGTG